ATAATTCCAATGGAAAAATAGTACCGATTTTTTTTTGTATGGGGAGTGTTGCAGTCTAATATATGTATATATGTATGTACATATATATATTTTCCAAATTTTACTCACCGGCTTTGGACCCTGATATGCTGCTGGAGCTTGTTGAGTGAGTTGTTGCTGCTGCTGCTGTGGCGACACATTGTTATATATTGCTGTCGATTGCGGCTGCTGCTGCTGTTGTTGTTGTTGTTGCGTCGGAGTACGTTGATTGCGCCAAGGCACAGTTTGTGCTGATGGCTGTGAGTTGGGAGAATTGTTGGTTGATGTTGATTGTATTGCTGTTGGTGACGGCGCGTACGGCTTTGGCGATTGTTGTTGTGGCTGTTGAGCCAATGGTGATACAGCTGGTGCAGCACGTTGTTGTGGCTGCTGCTGCTGCTGCTGCTGACCACCATATCTGAAGGGACTTTCAGTGGCGCGCTGTGTTGGAGTGCCGGCATCAGCGCGTGGGCTATCCGTTTGCCGTGTGTAGACATTTGTGATAGGCGATTGCGGTGGGGCGACACTGCGGAACTCATTTCTTGGCGATTGTTGTTGCTGTTGTTGTGGTGGAGTTGAGGCCGACAATGGTGGTGTTGCATTGTTGGCGTATTGAGGCTGCTGCTGTTGCAGTGGTTGATACGATTGTGGGGAGTAAGTGGGCGGAGTTGGTGTGTACTGCTGTGGTTGAGTGGAGTTGTTGCTGTAGTTCAGTTCAGGTTGTTGGGTAGTCGTTACTGGTTTCTTGTAACCTGTTGAAGGTGTTGGTAAAAGATTAAAAAAATAAAAGTGTTGAAATATTGAATTTTAGTGCATAGAGTGATTTATAGATTAATTCTTGGAACCGTTAGTGTTTCTTTTGTCGTGAATTTAGGGTGCGATGCGTGAAGGNGTGGGCGGAGTTGGTGTGTACTGCTGTGGTTGAGTGGAGTTGTTGCTGCAGTTCAGTTCAGGTTGTTGGGTAGTCGTTACTGGTTTCTTGTAACCTGTTGAAGGTGTTGGTAAAAGATTAAAAAAATAAAAGTGTTGAAATATTGAATTTTAGTGCATAGAGTGATTTATAGATTAATTCTTGGAACCGTTAGTGTTTCTTTTGTCGTGAATTTAGGGTGCGATGCGTGAAGGTTAGCAGCGCCATCACCATTTAGAGAGTTAGTTGAGCCGGCAAATAGTATGTAATAGTAATAATCAATTTTACAATTATTTTTCAAACACATTTTTCATTACCAGCTATTTGACTATACCAGCACCATTAATAAATTAGTTGACCCAAACCCAAAGCATAAAAAAATTTTTTAATTTTTTTCAACATGTAAGCAAGTATCAAGCTCCTTAGGATCTGAGGTCTGCCGGTTCTTCTGTAAACCCTTTCGCCTCTTCACCCAACTTCGTGTACTTAAAATACGTTATAGCCGTTGCTCAAATCACCAAGAACCAAGGTTAGACCCATACAAAGCGTTGATGTGGTGATTAGGTGATGAACCCTAAAATAAACGTAGAAAATGCCTTAACACATTCTCTACACGCATTTCTCACCATCGACATGTTCGTTGACATCGTTGTTGCTGTTGTTGTTGTTCAAACTAACTTGAGCACGCTCACCATAACCGCCGTTATTCGGTGAGCTAGCTCTGTCATTTTCACCCACCATGGGACTCTTGGAGCGTTCGCGCACATATTCATCCTTCCAGAAGGTATTCTTCTCCACCGGCGGTGGTACTTTGCGCAAGGCCGCCATTGGATTTGGCGGAATTTTGATTTCTGGTCGGAATCCCATTGGTGGCGGTTCGAAGCGTTGCGGTGTGGGCGACTTGCGTTGCGCGTT